GGAGCCCATGAAGTGTTTGATCACAAAGAAGCTGATTATATTAATAAAATCCAGAAATCTGTTGGTGAAAAAGGAATTGATGTGATTATTGAGATGTTGTCTAATGTAAACCTTAATAATGATTTGAAACTTCTGTCATATGGAGGACGAGTAATAGTCGTTGGTTGCAGAGGCTCAATTGAAATAAACCCGCGGGATACCATGGCAAAGGAGACTTCTATAATTGGAGTTGCGCTGTTTTCATCAACCAAGGTCATAAAGGAAGGGATTTTGATGCTGGAGGAATTTAAGCAGTTTGTATCAGTTCTTCAAGCAGGAATGGAGATTGGTTGGTTGAAGCCTGTGATAGGTTCTCAGTATCCACTGGAGAAGGTTACCCAGGCTCATGAAAACATCATACATGGCAGTGGGACTGTTGGGAAAATGGTTCTTCTGATATGATGCTGCTTTTTTGGGCTTCCAGTGTAATTAGTAGATTTTGTGTCTTCCATGTAGTTTATATTGCCATTAGTAACATTTGTTTGATTCCGTGAATTTGACTTAACAAGATTATCCTTTAGGGGACAGGGACACTAAAGTCTGTTTCACAGATTGCAATCCTTTTAATGTCTTTTATCTTAATCAAGGAGCCATCATAGTAGGAAAAACTGTGATGCGGTCACTTGGCATTGGTGTACATTCCAGAAATTCTTAACTGATTCTTGTTTAATTCTGTGCCATTGATTAGCACATGCAAATTCAAAGTAAGATTGATTTCCAAGCCTACTAATTTATATCCATTGTCCATTAATCAGTTCTGATTATCCCATAGCCAATGGGACTCCACTGACTTTCTGGACTGAAAAAAAAAATCATCTTTCCAAACTAATCTCATTAATAGTTACTTGGAAGGGATGAATAAATAATGTACCAAGGAATTTATTGATTATCCCAATGTTTCCCTAAATAGTAGAGAATTCACTGCATTGCTGTGTGGTTGTCAGCAACTACCTGTATGCTTACTGGGGACAGCACCCTTCTTGGGTCTATGAGGCAAGATAGAGAGTCACCAAGTAATCACTTTGTAATTGCCTTGATTTTCAGAGTAGATTTTGTTATCTCTTTTGTGTGGCTTGGGTCAAAAATTTTTATTTAACAAGTTTACAAATTTGACACATTAAGGTAGTCTGCTTTTGTTTCCCAACACTATATTCTGTAATAAATTCTACAGATCAAAAAAAAAAAAAAAAAAGAACTTGGCAGACAAAATTGAAAATGTCAATGGAAGTTAATAAAAATTTACCACTCGGGGGGGAAAAAATATTCAGAATCACTTGAATACATGCTAAGAGATTAAGCTCCTGGCTTGGCACTTCCTGCTGGGATATGAAAGGACCAGACTGGTTTCACCATAGCTCTTTAAACCAGTTTGTTTAAGCTTATAGGTTGAGTGTTACCAAATGTGTAGTAATAACTACATTTTGGCAATGAGGAAAAAAATTAGATCACAAGAAAGATAATGGGAAGACACAGTATTTCAGAAACTCATTTCACACCAGATACATTTTATTTAAAAAACAAAACCAAAAAACAACCCTTTATCAGAAAGTCCAATTAAAGTCAATAACTCAAGCTCATAGAAATCTTTCAGGAAAGCTAACAGTTACATGAAAGAAAAGCAGGCAGCTGCTGACAATTCTTTGGTGGAAAAGTGAGTTGCATACTTATACAAGCTGCCCTAATGATTATCAAGCCCAAGTTTTGTTTTTCAAAAATAGGTTTCAAAGTATACCAAGCAACCATACAGACACCCCTAACAATACAAAAATTGAACAATGAAGTTTAAGGATGTAGCAAAAGCCAAATATGACACACAAATAACTTATAAAACAAGCCTCTCAATCCTAGAAAACTAAAATGGGGAGAACTCACCAAAGAGTAATGTACATAAAACGGGGGCAGCAGCAAATGGGACAACCCTAGACATTTCCCCACTGACTAAGCCACAAAAAGACAACCAGTAGTAACATGTAGTTTTTTCTTTTTCCTCAGCCAATCTGGTCCTCTTCAGATAAATTTGGTTACTGATCATTATGTACAGAAGTTAATTTTCTTCTTCTATTCAATTACCACCATTTCCTCCTTTTCACCTTTTTCCTGGTTTTCTCTTGCAACATTTTTCCTTTGGTTTGACTAGTTGATCTCAAAAGGCTTAGAACCTAAAATGAGTATCAACTCTTATTGGAATAGCACTTGGGAAATGCAAT